GTTATCACTAGTTCCGAATTTAAAAACAGTATATACCATCAAGGACTGTCACAAGGCAGAGGCATTCGATTCCGGAGTAGGACCCCGGAGCCTCTCAGGAAAAAGAGTATCAAACGTCAAAAATAGAAGCAGTAAAGTTTCTACTCGCCCTTTAACTCTAGGGCATAGGCCAGCACAACCAGATAAATGCACGAATAGTGATCGGGAAAGTCAAATTAGTGTCACCTTGTCACTGGGTATGTCTAGTGGCAGGAAGAAGAAAATCTCGCCAAAAATTCAAATTATTATCGACTCCTATGCCAAACGAATCGTCATTCAATAAAATTTTCTTCGAGGGCGATATAACGATTAACGCCGTTATATATTCTTTCGTTACCATATTTATAGTACGATTTGTCTTTAACCTCAAAATGGGCGTCTGTTTCGACGATTACTTCTTCATCGGTGCTAAATTGCTCTCCGGCGAGCATTCTTCCGAGGTCTGAGAATCCCTAGGGGCCAGATCTGGATAATATGGTGGATGCGGAAGTCATTCGGAGCCCAATTCATGTGTTTTTGACATCGATTTCATTGATTTATGACACGGTACATTGTCTTAATGAAACAGCACTTTTCTTTTTGTCAAATGGGACCGTTTTTTTCCGATGTCGTCCTTCAAACACTCCAATAACGTTATGCATTAGTCACTGATACCATTATGCCAGCCGACTGTTGCGTCTTTGCACACGTTGCAGTCAGTTCACCACGTGCAGTCCACTCAGATGACGATCATTTTGATGCTGGTGTGTAATGGTGGAGCCATGTCTCATCCATTGTCACATATCGATGCCTAAATTCAGATTTTTTTTTTATGGTGAAACAATTTCTGCTCAGAATCATCAATTCGTTGTTGTTTTTGGTGGGATTGCAAGCTCGCGTGGCACTCACTTCGAACAGAGCTTTCGCATACTCTAATATTCATGCACTATATCTCCAATACGTCCTTTAAGTTTCAGCCTTCTCGATCAATCTCTTCTTACGGTCATCCAAAATTATTTTGTGGTCTTTTTTGATGTTTTCGTCGGTAACAGCCTCTTTTGGACATTCACTGCGTGCATCGTCCTCGGTGCTCATTTCACCTCGTTTAAACTCAGCAAACCACTTTTCAACGATTGATTTTCCTGGTGTAAAGACCACAAAACGTTCGTGAAGCTAAGATTTGACTTCAGCAGCAATATAATGATTCATTAATACACAACATTATTTTTTATTTATTTTCTTCAAAGTCACAAAAGTTGCTTCACTCAAAATGTTCTATCACACCAACTTTAAAGGTTAGGGTTCAATACTAGTAGCGCCATCTATGTGTTCGCCTACGACCTTTTCACCTCATCTTTAGTTTTGTTGCGTTTTTGTATATGTATACATTTGATTCGCCATACTTACAGTTACTTGCCCTGTTTCCAGCATGAAAACAATGAGAAACGTTTTCTTGTTTTTGTACCTAGTGTATGAGTATGTGTAAATAAATGGATCCAAAACTTGAAATACATAAGGGTTTCAATGAAGTAAGTGGCTTGCATGGTGTTATACAAAATGGATAGTTCAATCATCCTCTTCACTTGGTGATTGAAACACGTGTTAAAGTGTTGAAAATAACGGTTTGGTGCTGGAGTACAACTCCAGTGATATTCATTGATAGTTCCTGTTCAACTTCTGAACAAGACTGAAAATGTTGCTATTGTTCATCTGAATATTCGAAGACTCAGGAAAAATAAGAGTGCCTTGATATCTTGTTACAGTCACTTGATTATCCGGATGTCGTGTGTCTAACGGAAAACTTGTGCAGAACATTTGAATTTATATCTCTGAATTTAAATTCTCATAATCTTGCTGATTTCTTCCGTAGAAAAGAAACTCGGTGGGTTTTGTTCATCCAAACCAGGAATCTGAACCACCACACATAAATCACTACTCACTACATAGTATAAAAAGAAGTCACTTCCCGCTGTCTGTCCCTATGTATGCTTAGATCTATGAAACTACGCAACAAATTTTGATGCGAGTTTTTTTAATAGATACACTGATTCAGGAGGGCGGTTAATATGTATGTAACATGCACAATATAGTAGAAAAACACTGATTTCAAAGGTTTCTAATGTGATGTCATAAATAAACACACTTTTTTGCACTTACATTGCAAACGCTGGCTGAACCCTACGGAATAGATCACCTTGAAAAGGTGTGCAAAAAATGAAACCTGGGATTCAGGTGCCAAACAAATCCATTGGATACATGTGATGATTGTCAGACTAATGATCACTGATGGGGCAATTGCCTGGTGGCCACAGGCTTTACAGAAACCGGCTCACTGGAAGCTCTCTGGCTCACAGAGACAGTCTTGGCATCAGTACTACACCATCAGTGGTCATGAAGATCCTTCTAGATCTACCTCCTCTTCGCATTTTTCTGGAGAGAGAGGATAGATGGACTGCATATAGAATTATACACATCGTCAATTGTACAAATCAATCTAATGCAGAGTACACAAGAGTGCTGGTACACTGGCAGTCACATAATTCTGGGAATGACCTTTGAAATTATGCCTCTAACTATCAACTATGAACTGTCTTATACAGTACTTCTTCCATGTAGAAAGAACTGGATCCTCCGGGAAAAGGAAATATTAAAAGCAGATAGCTGTTGCTCCACATATGTATCAAAAACACCTTCAGGCTCTGGTGTGGGTGTTTTTAGTTGGAGACTCAGGACAGAAATATCAACCTGCCTAGGGACCAATGCGACTGTATTTCAAGCATAAATCTATACTATTGAATCGTGTGCGGAGACATTGGTGGAATTCACCCCCACAGACAAGCCAATAAATATTTTCTCGGGTAGTCAAGCGGCGTTGGAAGCTCTTGGCTCCAACCGAGCAACATTTAAATTGGTAGCAAATTACGCCAAAAAGACTCTCCTCGATAAAAATACTTAACAATATGTCTCTGGTCTGGATTCTTGGCCACACTGGCCAGACTGCTGACTCCCTCACAAAGGAGGGTGCTACAAACAATCTCATTGGACCAAAACCTGTCATTGGCATCGCTTTAGGTTTATACCAAACGATCATCGAACAGCTCGATGGCAAGACGATCCAAAGACTTTTGACAAAATCTTCCAGGATTGGCTCACCCCAAGACGTTCATTCACCCTTCAAAGCTTGAAACCAAACAGTTGTTGGACTACAGTAGGAACGAACTACGAAGTCTAACAGGCCTCCTCATAGGTCAATGTCATTTGAATCATCATATGCAGAGACTCGAACTGTCGAAAGACAGTGTGTACCGACTCTGTTTGGAAAATTGTAAAACAGCAGAGCATATATTTTGTACCTGCCTCACTGCAACACGAATCAGGTTTTCAGAGGTTGGCAGAACCATACTCTTACCATCTGACCTGAAAGATCATTCTCCATATAAACTAATCGGCTTCGTTGTGAAGCTGGGTTTATTTGTTCGAGTATGAATAGGTGTGAGCCACAATAAACCCTTGCAGGTTGGGGTGGAGGGTCAAATAGACCCACTCACTTTTGACTTAACCTAACCTAACCACCGCCAACGAGATCTGCGAATAAAAAGTTGATATGTAATGAACAACAACTACAAAATACATACATTTATTATTTTTCAACAAATTTATAATTGCTTACTCAAATATTCATAATGAAGTTGAAAGTTGCGTACATACTCCCCTGATTAACAGCTTCAACATTTTCCACAAAAATATAAATTTTCTAAATATAATTTGTTCTCGCATATACGTGTAGCCATTGGATCGAGTGCCTTTCAAAATATACACTAAACTACTGATTGATAAAAATGGAATAATCATAACAATAAATCATTCTTTCATACTCCAAATGGAAAAATTCCTATTATAAAAAAAATGTCATTTATTTATTTCACAACGATAAAAATAGTCAGTACTAATTTTTAAGACACTCAGGAATGCTTTGTGGAACGTGATCTTAAATGTGCCTCTTAAATATTATTCCATGATGAATATAGTCTAAAATGCATGGTTATGAATAAATATGATTTATATTTCAAATTAAAACTATACTAAATAAATTTATCGTAATTTGTTCATTTTTTATTGTAATTTATGTCTCTTTTGCGGATACTGTTTTGAACTATAATCAGAATATTAGATGAAATTTCTCTCATGAATTATTACTTTTGGCAGATGCATCATTAAACTCATAAAATGAGTATCTCAGTTTCAGAAGACGACATATTGAAATAGCAATGAGGTACTCTAAAAAGGATATACAAATTACGATCTCCTTTATAGAGGTAACCCGATGGCATTATAAGAAAGCTTTCCGAATTTCTGCTGACGCAGTCGCCGATTTTGAAGATTGGTCAAACTACCAACGTCGAATTGGAAAAATTGGCAAGCTAACTTGGGTGTCAGCCCAAAAGGTGGTTCCACTCATGCCTCACTTGCGTTTACGCGGTTATCATTATCGAGTACTCTTCTTGGTTTTCCACATTTTATCTTTAATCGAGTACCACATGCCCATTATGATGATTTAGTACGTTGTGAAGCAGCCATTTTGAATAGTCGAGCTGCTCCGTTCTCGTTGCTGTTTTTCTGCGAATTTTCACGTGAAAGTTGTTTTACTATACTTTCCGGGAGAGGAAAAACTGAGGAAAACAAATATTTTTTCTCTAAAGTGTGAAAAACTTCACCGCAATTTCCGATAGTATTGGGAAATTCACTACACTTCCTGCAAGCATACCATCAAGGACTGTCACAAGGCAGAGGCATTCGATTCCGGAGTAGGACCCCGGAGCCTCTCAGGAAAATGAGTATCAAAAGTCAAAAATAGAAGCAGTAAAGTTTCTACTCGCCCTTTAACTCTAGGGCATAGGCCAGCATAACCAGATAAATGCACGAATAGTGATCAAATTAGTGTCACCTTGTCACTGGGTATGTCTAGTGGCAGGAAGGCTAAACGAAAGTCTTTTCAAGACTTGGTTGAAACTAAAAGGAGCGGAAAAATCATGTCAACCCATTCAGATTCAATAAACTCAGAACAAGGAGACAGTTACTCGAAAAAATACGAGCCCAAATTCGTCTCAAAATACGAAACCAATGAAGACATGAATTAACAAGGTGAAACTAATAATCCAAACAATCAAGCAACGAAACAAGTTGCAAAATTGGAAAACATTAGTATGGACACTGCACCGCTTCCCAAGATCAATCCCTGGAACGGACGAAACAGAATTCAGCCAGCTCCGGACTCACTACCGCTACTTCCCCCACCACTAGTACAGGGAGAGCGAGCGAGGACCCAAGAAATGAGCTCAGCCGCACCTCATGGAGTCAAGTAATTGCTTCCGAAGACTCAGCAAAATGGTCAACCTGACCGAAATCATTTGAGTCGTGTTCGCGAGCTGTATTGAGGATCAAAACTTCTGAATGTTTATAAAGGCATGCATGCTGAACGTGAATGGAGTTAACAACAAATACCCCAGTGTTGTTAACCTCCTTCATTCGCATGATGTCAATATAATGTTTCTATCCGAAACATAGCTTTGACAGCAACATAAGCTGAAGCTACGAGGTTTTATTACTGTCCGAAAGGACCGCTCTGACGCTGTTAGAAGCAGTGGGTTCACTATCTTGCCGCAGCGGAGCAGCTAACCACTCACCATCAGAAATCTTGGTATCAAGATCTTGGTGTCAAGAACTTCATACCAAGAAGAGATATGAGAAGATATTGCCTCAATAGCCGAATAGTTTCGACAGTTCAAATACCTGACCACACAAACTGAAAGGTTTACAGTAGATGTGATAAAGAGATAGTATTGTTGCTGCACATATTTCGTTCACTCAGCATATGTTGAGTTATTATGCATACAGGGTGTTTTGCAATTCTAAACTTTATGGATTGCTGCGTTGAAATGTGTCAAAATATGTTTTCTCTGTTAATCAGTTGTCATTCTCAAAAATTAGTAACCCTCAGAAGTTGAAACTTGTGCGAGCCAAAGATAAACGAGGTCTTATATATCGGAAATCTCATAGTTGGATTTGAACCATCGTTTACATAGCAATGGATTGAGTAAAACAAATTGTTCATGCTGACCAATCGGCTACCATCCGACGTTTCAAATATATTCATCATCCATCATTACACCTTGTTTACACGGAATTCTTGCTAGGATAAGTTTGCTTGGTTCGCTGTCAAAACTGTTACTCAAATAACGTGACATGAAATTCAGTTTTTATTAAAGTTCAACTCCGCGAGGGGTTTTCCACACTTTTGTCACCGGATACTTAACAGATCAATGATAATCCAAAGTTCCTAATAGTCCATAATTAGTACCTTTGTTGAGACTATGGCCTGAATAAATTTAGTTTTTATGACATAACGATCATGTGGCATTCATTGGCTTTTGCTCTTTCAACAGATTTGAAACCTATATAGATTGTTGCAGAAGTAAATAATCAATATAGTAAAAAAATTACAAAATATATTATTTGATCAAATGTTGGATGTTATGAAGTGCTTCTCGGAAGAAGTCAAATGAATTTTGGAATTTCACCTATTTGAATTTGTTTCATCAATATCGGTTCGAGATAAACATATACAGGATAACATAAATCATATAATACTGCAAAGTTTCTCAATATTGAATGCGCTCCACCACAGAAGAATGTGGAAACTGTGTATGAATTTTAGAAATCATAGAATTACTTTTGCTATAAGGCAGTGTCGAACTTGCTATAAAATCTGAGTAGCGTTTGTCAGCCGACTACATGGCGGGTTCTCGATCCTCCCTCTCAGGCTTATAGAGAGCGACTCGTTACCCAGACCGTCAGTTTTCAGTCTGATCCTGCTTTTAGTGACAATAATACTTCATATACTCCAGTATGATCCTGATGTCAGTCACAATAATAATGCATATAAATAGATGAAACGACATATATACTAAAACCTTACTTGAGCAAATAACTCGTTTACTAAGTGCAAATGATTTTGTTCTTCCAGCTACAGGAGCGTTAAAAATAACGGACTTCCAGTTCTTATAACTTTCTATCGTTTTGAACATTGAACTTGTGCTGAATTCTAAACAATATATATAATTTTTGTGCACATCAGCAACTGAAAACCTTCAACCAAAGGCATTTTCTCTTCACTGAGAGTATATTCAGAAATAAGGTGAAATTTTGTAGAAGAATATTAAAGTGAAAACTTATATTCATTATATTTATTGTAATTGTTGTGGTCAACAACTCAAAACTTTACACCTTCCTGATTAGAAGCTAATGAGAAATTGAAAATAATATTTTTGATAGTTCTGAAAAATTTTCATCAGAAAAACATCAGTGGAAAATAAGAAATGGAAGAATGGAAAGTGAAAAAAGAGGAGGAAGTCTAGCTCATAATTATTAGACAGTAAGCTTTGAGTTTTCGCCACTTCCAATTTTAGTATTCGTCATCTTCTGAAAATAACGGAGAAAAAGTCGAATAAGTATAGTCGACAATTCCATCTCAGGTACCGATCAAGTGTATCCAACTCCAATCTTCTCTAGAAAATTATTTGAGTTGTACCAGTACCATGAAATATGTAACTACTGCACCAAGTACCTTGAAAAATGAGAATTGTTGAATTTTTAGAATGATTTTTTTTCAATAATTAACTCACCGAGGCAAAAAGATCTAGAGAAATAGTAAAAAACTTCGCCCCAGATATCGACAAGGCTTTTTGACATTGTTGACATACAATCTGGACGAATGTTTTCGCTTCCTCTGAACCATCATACCAGTGACAGCTGTAAGCTGCTTCCATAACAGATGAACTCTGAAAGAAAATATTTCTGTGTTACTGAACCCATCAATGTTACTGAGATTCTGGAAAATAATTTTTGTGCTCTAATGACGAAAAAAACGGCTCATTCATTTGACTATATACGCAGACAATTTTCATCATTGTAGAGTTTCAGATCTGTTATCCTTTTGCAATAGTGTTTTGTTTCATATTGACTGATATAACTCTCATAGTACACTAAGAGGTAGGTTATCACTAGTTCCGAATTTAAAAACAGTATAAACCTTTTCGAAGATTCTCTAATTGTCCTATATGAAACTGAATTCCATACCATGTGGAAGCATATTTTCATCTAGATCAAAAAATAAAACAATAATTCAGGCCTTCGAAATCATACGGGTTCCTGATTGAAAATCCAAATTCTCATTAGGTAGTTTTCAGATAAATGGGGAAAAAGTTGAATCAAACACAACTTCGGAACTTATAAAAACGTAGAAAACTTTCAAGTATTCTGCATGTACAAAAAAATCAACATCTATTGATTAGTAGTTCAGAGCTCTTCTGGATATAATATCAGTCATGTGGAAAAATCTTTCTTCTTGATTTCTATTCATGTACCTGAATGGTTTCACAAGTAACGCCACTCTATTAAATCATATTTTCAATAAAATGATTCGAAGTATTGAAAAAATACTTTAACATCATGTAACACTTATCGTTAATAAGGTCGTCACCACTAACCTGTTTCCCATAGCATGGAAAAAGGCCCTAAAAATGACTGAAACTAGTGATCCCACCGACTTATCTCAACGCTGCTCAACCAGTTCGTTACTAATAATACTCAAAGTATTTGAACGACTCTTAAAAGAACAAAACATAGACTGTCCATATTTAGTGCATTCCTTAGTACAACCGACGGCCTATTTATATCAAATGATAGCAACCAGCTAATATGCCATACAATACTAGATTATAACAAAGCGTTCTTTACGACTGACCATTATATACCATACAAAAAGCTGTTACACTATGGATTCTCTGAGGATGCTGCCAAACTGATTAAAGTCTACCTCACATTACGTACCCTCTGAGTTATCATTGGAACTTCCATGTCTAATGCTAGGCCAGTAACTGATGGAGTTCAACAAGGTTCGATTCTTGGACTCCTACTATTCTCACTTTCCATAGCAGATTTTCATCAAAGTCTGGAACTGACGACACGGAAATACATATAGCTGATTCTGTTGAAGATATTACTAAGGCCATTAGTAACATCGAAAAAAATCTTCAATCCTCATTCAACATTTCTGCAGCATATAACCTCAAACTTGATCCATCAAAATCAGTTACAAAGCTTTTTGGTCCCAAGTCAACACATGGGCAAATATGTCAAACCTTCAACATAAACTCAGCTGAAACTGCGCACGAAGTCGTTGAACACTCTGAAAATTTTTGATTATGAATTGATTCCGACCTCAGGTTCACCAAACATATTAGTCACCTCTGTCGAAACTCATATAATGTACTATGACAGCTATAGCCCAATCGGAATATCCTACCTTACGTTTTTTTTCTAATGAATTCTGGGATTACCCTCTTCAGAAATTGAGAATGAGGCTCCGCCACCTCTAGATATATCACATGACAAATGGAACGGCTACTACGAATACCTGATTTTTTTTAGTTGTAAGTATCATATTTTTCATGAATACTTCTGTGCAGTGAGGAATATATAATATGGCCATTCTTTCGCTGAGTACGACATCCTCGAATAATCATAAATTATTTTGTGATAATTATATGTTCCAGGAAACGTACCGTTAGCGATATTATTGGTATATATTTTGTTTTTGGAATATCAATTCACTCTTAGGGATGAGTTGAAAAACTGCTTTACCAGACACTTCGTCCTTTCATCTTCTTCAATTATTTCAAATACAAATGAGATATCCTATATATCTTGCGATGAATACAGTGGAATATCATCATTATTACCATTATAATCTTTGAGCATAATAATTTCTGGATTGAAGGATTGAAAAAACCCTGAACAGTTGGTCTTCTTTCAGAGTTTGAACAATTATGAAACTGAATTCTGTTCAGAATGAAGCCAGCCTAAAAATTGGAAGTCTTCCCAAATACGAGTAACATTGGGACATGGACTCATAGCAATACACCTCATTCCTTTTTTCGTGTAAGATGGAAGAAAGTCGATAACAAGAGAAACCGTGTTGTGATATTGGAATCGACGCCCTACATATGACCAACGAAAAGTATTTTGACTCTTTCATGGACTATTCAATAGAGTTATGAAGGGGTGCTTGGTAGTGATTATTTCAGGAAGAAATTGCTTTTTTTGAGGGAATGTTGCAACTGTTTTATCGTGTTTTGGAGAGGGAAAAAATGAGTTGGCCATTTGGAGCTTTTACCTACTACCTTTGCCTGAAATCGAATCGAAAGATATCAGTTCTGAAGATAATGATCATCTTGAATGATATTCCAACTCCACGGGCTCCTTCAGATCTACCCAGATCTAGTTGATCCCCCTAATTCCACGAAGTTTCAATTGTATAATGTTGAGAAAATTTTAGTAAAATTCTTATCATTGTATAATATTTTGGTGGGGCACAGAAAGAGATTTCACTCAGTATGCTCTATTACAATTTTTGGTTATCCTGGAATATCTCAAGTAGTCATGTTTATACTTTAGTATTTCTATCTATTCATTAAGCCATGTAGTATATATGTATATAAGCTATAATGTAGTAATAAGAAAACTGCCAATTCAACATTTTTGTTCTGTTGTGGATATTGGAATTTTATCGAAATAATCTCAGAAATATTCAATATCCTGAATATTTCGTTGTTTAGTAGTTGTTGCATAGAAATTTCGGATACTTGTCGATTTATTGAAATCTTCAGTCGTACTGGTACTACTACTAAATTTAACTAAAATAATAAAAAGCAAGAAATCTTCATTTACAATTCGTTATCGGCAAATCCAGAGGAACTGAATTTCACTTTCGGAAAATTGTACTCTAGAACAATTATTCATCGCCACTGGTTTGCGAATACTCAAAACTACGGAGTGGTCCAGAAAGATGTTTTTGAGCTAATTCATCGTAAGTTTCATTCATTCAATAAATCTTTCTCATGGAAAGAAATGAACAAAAATGTCAGGACGATTTTCATGGTGACTGCTTGAAATACTCACATAGAGAATGGGTGATTTAATTTTTCTCTAAATTGATGATTTTTGAAAAACTGGACGGAGGTTGCATATTTCACAATTCGAAAGTCTGCATTCTTTATGAAAATCCCGTAATATTTTCCGTCATTATGATAGAAATAATTTTCAAAAATACAGAATCTGATGAGATGAAACTCAATTGAGAAAATAGGTGAAAATGTGCAACAATTGTATACCTATACTGTTTTGATGAAAAAATATGCGACTATGAAAAGATGTTACTATTTATGACAATTTGACTAATTCTTACCTCCTCTATCAGCCTGTTCCCAAAAATGCAGAAATGGAATACCTGGGCCAAAGAATACACCAGGTAACCTATCACAGTAGCAGCATACACGGTAACTCCGCTGATCTGTAGAAAAGGTTAATGAAAATATTTTCTTGCGTTCATATATTCATCTGATGGAAATGTTCCATTCAACTGTAGCTGAAACTTTGTAAGTCTCAATTGTGAAACGGGAAAACTGGTAAGAGGTTTCTACTTGGACTGAATATAAACTCATCCAAATATTTTGGTATCTTGCCAAAAAGCTACGATATAACACATTTCATAAAAAATATTCTTGAGAGGTTGAAACATACATTTGAACCTGAACATAATTCTCAGAGAAAACATGCTGCACGTGTATCAATGTAGACCATCGAATGTGTCATCAGATAAAGCATTTCATCCTTTCTGTTTCCAATTGAGGCAACGCCTTATGCAAGGCGCACACTCCTACAGCACGGAAACATAATGTGAAGTTTCGTTTTTCTTTCTATAGTTTTCATAGGGGGCGCATACTTAAAGTATGCGCACAGTGCGACAGGATAGCACAGGACGAAAATATGATGAGACGTGACCTTCGAGCGGAGACGGCACGGCATTGGCCTGACTTGTCCTGTTCCCGTTTTGTCATGTGTCTGTCCCTTGCCTGCCTTAGTCTGTGCCCCTCTATAAGAAACTATAGAAAAGAAATAAACCTCAAATAAACCTCCGTTCCGGCATATTCCCGTTCTGTCGTAGTATGCGTAGAACTTTAAGTCAGGCAACGGACAGCTCGAAGATGAAAAATTTCCTGTACCTATCTCAAGCCGTCCTCCAACTCCTATTTCTTTCATCCTCACGGCTCATGCTTGACCTTGGTGTTTAATGCTCTACGAAGAAACCACGAGATTTTCACGTGGCTTTCCTTTCCTTTCCTATGAAAATATGGAGAATTTCGAGGGAAAATCAATATGTGTTATCCAACATTGTATTGTTTAATTTGTACAATAAATTACATTACGCTGTAAAAGTTGCAATTACAATATCCTTCTCACTGGATGAGGTGTCAAAATTTGAAAGGGAACTCATCCTGAATAATACTAGCTATTAAAATACGAGAGAGCAAATGAAAAGAGCAGAAAGAGAAAGAAGAAGGTGGTGTGCAAAGGAGGCAAAAGTAGGCATTTTCTCGTCCTGTGCGGCCCTGTCGTAGTAGGTGCCTTGCTTAAGTGGTTTTCATTACACAGTTCCTTTTCGAAGATGAACTTTTCAGCTTACTTTTTCAGATTGTGGCAGAATAACACCAAAAAATAATGAGAAACATATTATATAGATGTTCCCATCGAATGAGTTTTTCATGAGGACTGGTTTCATTTCTGTTAATATTCAATTCAAATGAAAAAAAAATCAACATCGTATCCTGAACATACTATTACGAAAACACAGTGATAGAAATGATTTTCTTTATTAGGTTTATTGTGAAAGTAATCAAATAATGCTTTGAAAATGGGATATTGTGCTAGTTATTGAAAGTAGAAGAAAAAATGGATAGGGTGATACCTTAGTTGCTTGATAAGCCAGAAGAGTCAACATCACAGTAGCTGTTAGCATGTGGAGTAGAAGGGCAACTCCGTATGCATCTCCAATGGCAGTAACAAGTCTGAAAAAATTATCAATAATTGATTACATAGATTCTCATAGGCATGTATTTGTGAAAACATGATTAAACAGTCTGTCTTACCAAAACTGATTTTGTTTAAAAAAAATCTGAACAAAATACAACTGTTAATTTCTCATCCCATTGATTTCATTACACAAAACATAACATTGATATATTTGAAGATCTTTAGAAACTAAGCTCAGCTGATTCGATCAAATAGTTTGTGAATCATCAAAAGAATTCAAATATTTCTCACCTCACTACATGCTTATGTCTCTCGACCCAATATTTAATAGCGGATCTCACCATGAGCTCTTGCTTTTTACTTAATCCGTTTGGTCCAACGCCCCCTCCACCTTGTCCAAATGTCTGAAGGGCACCACTACGAAAATTAACACCCATCTCTTGTCTGGTATTGTAGATACCTTTCAGGTTCAGCTCTTCGTTCTTAGCATTATAGTCTAAACAATGTGTAAATATTATCTGAATGAATTTGAAATTCTTTCGATAAGCGACAATCGCAATAATATTTTATTTACCGTAATATCAAATAAATCAGAGAATGCAAACCTGACATGTTAAATTTCCAATATATTTTGAACTGAAAACTTCAAATTTGTTTGAACGTGCCTGGAAATTTTTCAGAGATTGATCGTTTCTGTCGAGATTACTTTCCAATAGATATGCAAAAACTCGACGCCATTTTTTTCAAATAGTATTATCAGGAAGCACGTATTATATTTGTATGACTCAATATCAATTATTATCTAGATTAATGGATCTTCTCGATGATTTTTTTCATTGAGCTGATTTGTAGGAACATCAAGAAGAAGTACTGACGTTGATGTAACTGAGAGAGCAGATGAATCCCTCTCAGATAGATTGGAAAAGTCTAGTGAAACCCAAAATGGTAAAATTGATTAAAATCATTGGGATCAGTGTATATTTTCATTTTGCTTTTCGTCTTCCATTTGGAATAGCCTTATCCAGAATTCAAGAAGAGTTACTCCTTCTCAGATTCTCAGAGCTATATCTAGTTCAAGTTAGACATTTCGTCTGGCCCTGAATATTTTTTGGAGAATTCCAACTCAACATCGAAACATTCTCCATTTTTGATTGACAGAGGATTTACAGATTCATTTACTATCAAAGTTGTTAGACACCGTATTGAATACACAGGTTTGCAGATATATTTCATACTGCCTTTCAGTGAAAAATTTTGTTCTTTTTCACTTTCAATAACATATTCAGTAGATATTTTCAACATGAATTTGGTGGACATTGTAATGTGTCTGGATATTTATTAATGTATACCTGATTATTGCTCCTCCAGAAAAATGGAAAAATCTATCATTATTATGGAAAACTCTGGTATTTGTTGAAGTCTTACTTGAGTCACCATTGAATGTGCCGGGATTTACTATTACCAATATTCAGAAAGGAATGAACATTTCTCAACATATTCTGTTAATTCATAAGACATGTTCAGTTCACTCTGAATTTTTTTTGAAGTGAAGCAAATAGATTTGTGGATACCTTTTATTTTCAATGACTAACAACCTTGGATCATGGTAGGAGAGTTGAAGAGCTTTTCTTTCAGACACTTTCATCAGAGGTACTCAAAACTTAGAGAGGAGGGTTATCAGGCAGACTTACAGGAAAACCTTATATCAAGAATCATTTCCATCAGACTGAATTATTTATGGATCCAGAGTTGGAATAAGATTTAATTTCTCTGGCACCTCTTCCAGTTCGGCTCTGATTATGTTTACTGATCATTATGAGTCATGTTTGTAGGCGAATATCAAATAGTGATAATGCCTAGTCGAGTTTTCAGTGACTCCAGTTGTGGTCTGTCTAGATAGTAATTTCATTGAATATACTCCATTGATAGTTGAAGGAGGTATCTTTCATATTCTAGTCCTATAGAATTTTTTGAATGAAGAAATATCAGCAGTTATACTCACCATTCTCAATGAATTGGTCTTGAGAATTTGCACTGGGTGCTCTGAATAAATCTGCGCTTTTTGGAACGTAGGTATCTAATGATGCCGATAGTTCCTGGAAGACATAAGTATAATTATGAAATAATTCTTTCAATGCATAAATTTATATCTCACCATCAAAGGTTTCATGATCTCTTTCAAATGTTGGAGCTGTTCGCATGCAAAAATCAACCACGAACAGAAGAGACTGTCCATGAGATTTGAGTGAGCGAGTGAGAAAAAGACGTAGTAAATCTGGAATATCAGTGATACATAATAGGCTGTTCCCGACATCGCATTCCAGGGATACCATGATTTAACTAAGAGTCTGGGAATTTCTTCAACGATGGTTTCATTCAAGTTATTGGGATCTTTGATGTTGTGAACACTGTCTCCAATGAAAGTGATAGCGGTCCACGCTATAATATAATTTTTTGTTAATATATATCTCAACTGGATAGTTTTTCATTTTGAAATGAAATTACACAGCTATTTTTTGTTTCATTAGATATATCAGATGAATTCATTTCGACTGCTGTTTTGGGCTGTGAAAAAATAATTTTGTAGTGAATTTATCACTTGAATTTTGTCAAAGATGTTGACGTTCAGATTTGTTAGCTCATTTGAATGTGCAAATTCACTAAGCATAATGTTTGCGAAATTTTTTCTATGAGTCATCAATTTTTGCGAAAACAATTTTCTACACGGAATCTAAGAAGGATGATTCATGGAAAATATATCAAATTATTTTAATACATTTATGGATGTTAAAATTTGGTGGTAGGAATATCAGGTATATAAAAGCAATTTAATTAATAGACATGTGTTTGAATATTGTTCTCAAATTTTTCAGAAACATAAATAGTACCTATCTATATATATAGAAAATGTAAAAAATGATGAGCCATGACAATTTTAGAATTTAAAAATTCAATTGAATGTTATAATCCATTTTCAGATTTAATTTCCATTTTGACCCTGAATGTTGATCAGCTAACATGAACTATTTCATTATTTGTGCTCTCAGATTTAATCTCAGAAGAAGTATTTCGGAAAGTATCTCGCCTAACCACTGTCGGACGGAAAGAAAAAAATGAGGTGGATCACTTCACAATCACTACTTCGCAATACAACTAGAATCCTTCTCCGACCTTATCGCTCGATTACTCGACTCAACAGACTCACGTCGCCCCGACGCGTTTCTTTTATATCGATGAGAAAGGTTCTAGTCTAGACTCGAAGCGCGTGTAAGATTCTATTGTTCACAACAAAAATAATAGGGCATTTTCGCTTATTGCTGAGAGATGGCGTTACTGTCTATGATTGATTTGTTTACTAAATAGGTAACTAACTAACACTCTCTCGCTTCTCTATGCTCGCGCTGCCCTTGAAATTACTCATAAATGTAGTGTGCACATTCTAAAACTTCCTTAGAGAAATCTAGCAAGTCTAAAAGCTCTGAAAAACATGATCCTTTTCTATGAGGCAAATTGCGATCGCAGGCCGTAGTGATACGACCCAGAGGCCGGAAGCAGTCCGCGGGCCGTATCTTTAAGACGACTGGTCTTGGTCGAACAAAATTAATTCACTTATCAGTCCTAGTTCATTTCGAACAAGTTTTGTACTGTTCGAAATAGCAAACAAGCAGTATGAAGCAGTGGACAGGGGGGGCCAATAGATAATTTCTTATGAAAATAATTCAGAAATCACATTCAACTTAGGTATCGAAAAGTTATCGCTCTCTTCATCATCATAATAAAAGTGGAAAGTGTTTTAATAGGCGAAAAGCGAACCATTTATTCACGACATAAGGAAAGTATCAACACTTTCTCAAATGAAATCATTTCATATTTATCTTTCCAACAGGGCGTAGTGTTGCTATAGTGAGTTATTCAACAACCGCTAGCTTGTATATTCGATTGCACATTTTGAATGTATATGAATTTTACCTTGAAACAAATTCATACTCAAGAATGATAATCTGTCATTGAACACTCAATCAGTCTTGAAGTTTTGTAACATATAATAAGTACCTTATACCTATATAGAAGCAAATTTTTTTGAAACATCCTTTGGAAAATATTATAATTTCTACTTTAGATTCACGATTAACTTTTTACTAATTGAAGATTCAATGAATAAAAAATAGGGAAGTGGACTTAAGAATCAATTCATTTTCAAAGATTACTCACGAATTTATCAATACATGTAATAAAAGTGTAACTGACCGCTGTCTGTACGTGCGTCTGTGTGTATTAACCTCAAAAAAGGCTTCAACGATTTGGTTGATGTTTTCACTAATGTACTGTGGTTGAGTTCTCATTTGGTGTCTGATCCATTTCAGTCGGTTCATAAATGAAAGAGATATAGATGGATATAGTCCGAGACCGCATATGCTGACAACAAGTGCATAAGGGTCTCGGAGGCCTCGCGGCAGACCTGGCCCCTTGTGTCAGGAATCTCTATACCCATCATGCGACTGCGTTAGGCTGAGATGTTGAAGACACCCATCTGGCAGGCCATAATGAACTTCTTAGTTTCCGACTTCAGCCCACTACACCTGAAGAAAACGAAAGTCATGCGCTTTGATAAGTCAAGGTCTTCAATGCTATTGAAGACCCCATGCATTGGCTTATCCTTGTGTTGCCGCAGAAGTGAGGTGATTGATCTCTGCTGCTTTCATATGCTGAACGGGTTCCAACTCAGTAACAGAGTTGTGATCAACTCGTTCAGAGTCGAAAACTGAACCGAGGCCATCAGCTGCTTGGACAGCTGCCACAAAAAGAATTGCTTCAATTTCTGCTTAGTGCGGCAAGCAGGTATTATTATTATCATTATTATTATAATCCCAGCATATTCTGTTGAAAAAATCTGTTAAACTATGTTTCTCCTTTAACCAGCCATATAAGATAACCCTCAGAAGTCGAAACTTGTGCGAGCTGAGAATTAACGGTCCCACCTTTTAACGTTCGTTTCCTAGCAGTGATTGAATATGCTGTATGTAATGTCCACCGCAATAGTCGAAAAAACGTCAGGCATAAACCTGAAGACCACAGGCAACAAACCCGGAAAGTAGCTTTGATATATTTATAGTTTGTTGAACGAATATCAAATAGACGAGCTAAGAATTAACGGTCCCACCTTTTAAAGTTAGATTCCTAGCAGTGATTGAATATGCTGTATGTAATGCCCACCGCAATAGTCGACAAAACGTTAGGCATAAAACCTGAAGAACACCGGCAACAAACCCGGAAAATAGCTTTGATATATTTATAGTTTGTTAAACGAATATCAAATAGATCAAATACATCCATTTTGTTATCCAAAAATCTAGTATTAGTATCATTATTATTATTAAATTAATGTAATGTAATCATCATGAATAATTTATTTTTCAGTAAGTAATTTCTGAAATTATTTAAATTTTTTTTGACTGTTCAAATTGAAAATGATTGTGAGGTCATATTCTAAACGATTCTATCGTTTGCAATATGGAGAATCAAGGAAATGGTTGAAATACTTTTCCTGCAGTCAAGGACAGTAACCATTGTGATATCGTCCTAAAAAACCGATAAAGTACAAATCTTCTTATAAAGCGCCGTACCTGATGCTGATAAAACTGTTGTAGCCATCACGCAAATCAATAAAGTCCTCATTTTCTTCAATGCTAGGGCATGATACCTGTTGTTGGATTCCAAGAATAAAGGGTGACTATTAGCTTGATTCCATATTCCCAAAGTCCTGAAACGATACTATTCAACTCCACAGATCAGTATATGCAGCGATAAGTATTACCTACCTATAAAAGAGTTTTGATCTGACTGCGAAGTAAACAAACTTTGTTATACAGTGGGTGAAAAACAAAACTGTGATTGTGTTGGCAGCTAAATCGTTGACATCGCCTCTTTCCACTACTAGATTTCCAAATGTACATCTGAAAACACAGTTTATGCATTTGGTAACGCAAAATTTTGTGAAACAAAATGTAAAATTTTCATTTTTTCGGTGGTTTTTCTCTAGTCAAATTTTTATAATACTTGTTTTCAACTTGCCAAAGAAAAACGATGAAATGATAAATTGATCATCAATCAACAAAAAAGTTTTGTGTAATGCAGTTCAAGTGTTGAATATGATGAAAATGATTCAACAAACCCGATAAGACATGAGAAAAGAAATTGTTGTAATTTCGAACTTGAACTGATTTATGTCACATTTCACTCAGGTATGCGAAATCACAGAAATTTTGTTAACATATACTGGGTGTATATTCTTCAGGTACTGTCATTCATTTCCTGGAGTTATTTGAATATTTTATGAAGACAACTTGTCTTGATATTGTTAAGCTTTCGCTAACATAAAGTCTATTCATTGAATGCAAACATGTGTATTTCTTGCTTTTCCGTAGGTTTTGTTTCTGAATAAAAGGGTAATTCTGGTAAGTGCAGATTCTAAAAATTTTAAACATCTGTAAAAAAATTCCAAAATCAAGAAAGTAGTCAGGGGAAAATGACACTTATCATTGTGTAAAATGTGGGAGGTTTGTCCCACTGAACCTAATGAAATCCATAGTTTATTGTGGCGAGTTAATGATTGTTATCATCTCAATGCGCCATATTTCACTCCTTTTTGATTATTCATACATAAAACTCTGCCAGGTTGAAACATTAACCATTTCGAATTAGTCAAAATATGTGTCTATTTCACTCGAATCGCTTGCAAGTATTCCGATAACAATGATATTTTTTGAATAACTACTGCGGGACCTCCATAATGACCGCCAAAGTAGCCGGACTTGAATCTGTTGGATAATCTCCTGTGATACAATCTCATATATCTTGTCCTCAATAAGTCGGTGGTAAATGGGAATTGTAAATTATTCTCAACAAGCAGTAATATCAGTTTATTCACCGAAAATTTAAGAGCACGGTGAAATAGTGCAGAAAATATGTGTTTGGAATATATTTTTTCGATAACCAGCTGGTGCACCAATACGAATGGCAACCCTAAGAAGTCGAAACTTGTGCGAGGTAAGGACTGAAGAGGTCTTACTTTTTAACGCGTGATTCCTAACACGAGTGGGACGATAGTGAGTGAAAATCAATCGTTCAGCTTGCGCCTTGAACCACCGACTAAACCACTCACTCATTCAAGATTAAATCTAGAAACTAATGCGAGCTAGCCCTATTTATGCTATATAGGTATCCCATACAGGTAAACCATCCAGGCGTACCACCCATACAGATATACTAACCTAAATTAATTTTACAATTTTTCAGCTGTATAAAAATTAATTTCACAATATTGCCTATCCAAATTTAATTTTGCAATGTGTCCTTATGTAGTAATCAGTAAACCCAACAACATTATTGTATTTTAACAAGCTATATAGTATGCTCTTTGGTATAGGTCCGTCATCGTTATTCATAATAATATTTTGTCAACTTATTTCTACACTCTCATAGGCATCTAGTTGCCTGTTAACTTATCTAACTAATCTTAATGAACTGAAGTCTATGGAATGGTTTTGTTGCAAAATATGATGGGCGACTGCTGACTTTTCAGGTCTTCCATATTTTAAGTGTGCTATGTATTCCTTATATATCTTTAATAGATCTTTTTGTCTGTCCATAATATTTTGCATCACATAAAACAAACCTTCATACAGAATTTCAGCCTCCCAAAATATAGCGGTACGGAAAAACAGTGATGAAAAATTAATTTTCATATGGTAACGCTCCCCTTTTACCACCAGGAGAAGCTCGTCCCCAGTTAGAATATTAAAAAATATTTTCTTATTGCACATCTGCAACATATAATGAACCTACATACAA